ATTATGAAATGGAGAAAGAAAGGTTGATAGAGTACTGGATAGGTGAAGGATTCATAGATGAAAAGGAAGGCAGAAAGAGGGCATTTAATCAAGGTTATGAGATACTCGGCACCCTTGTTCGTGCATGTTTAMTGTTGYAYYGAVVAAWYMARAAATRGAWWGTGAGTATGCATGATGTGGTTCGTGAGATGGCGCTATGGATAGCATCTGATCTTGGAAAGTATAAAGAAAGATGCATTGTGCAAGCTGGTGTCGGATTACGTGAAGTACCAAAAGTCAAGAACTGGAATAAGGTGAGAAGAATGTCGCTAATGCGGAATGCGATTGAAAAAATATCTGAGCGCCCTGACTGTCCTGAACTTACAACTCTCCTCCTTCAGGAAAACAAATCCTTGGCAAGTATCTTGGATGAATTCTTTCGGTCTATGCCTAGACTACTCGTTTTGGATTTATCATGGAATGAAAGTCTCTGTGGATTGCCAGAGCAAATATCAGGGTTGGTTTCTCTGAGATATCTAGACTTGTCATATACAAGTATAAAGCGACTACCAGTTGGTTTACAAGAGTTGAAAATGCTAATACATCTGAATTTGGAGTGGACGAGGAAACTTGAGAGTTTAGATGGGATATCAAAWTTGTCGAGTTTGAGGACATTGAAGCTACGAAGTTCCAAAGTGTGGCTAGATATGAGCGTAATGAAGGAGCTGCAGCTGTTAGAACATTTAGAGTTCATAAGCATAAGTATCTCGGCAAGTTTGGTTGGGAAGCTATTGGTATATGATCCCAGAGTGGGGAGATGTATTCAACACCTTTGTATTGAGGAGCGTGGGGAAGAATCAGTTAGAGAACTAGTTTTGCCAGCTATGGATAGTCTGTGTAAAATCTGGATATGGAATTGTGGAATTTCAGAGATAAAGATAGAGAAGACACCATGGGACAAAAGTCTGACAAGTCCATGCTTCTCAAACCTCTCTGTTGTGGAAATAGCAGGGTGTGATGGTTTAAAGGATCTGACGTGGCTGCTGTTCGCTCCAAACCTTYCTSATCTTWYRCTTTGMYYGTTGAAGCAAGTAGAGGAGATAATAAGCAAAGAGAAAGCTGCGAGCCTTTTGGAGAAGGAGACATGTAATAATATTATTCCTTTCCAAAAACTAGAATTCCTTC